ATATTATATAGCATTTATATTAGCAACTGCTTGAATTAGTTTTCCATTGAGTCATGAACTCATTTTTCCTCTGGACCTCCATGTAGGGATAAATAAATCAGTCAGATAAAATTCCTTATAGGCCATGTATTTTTTCCAAGGCAAATGATAAAAGATGTGGGCCAAGCATAGGAGAAAACAGACTAATTCATGTGATTTACTAACTAGAAAGTGAAAGCTCTGCCTGTCTGCTTGTTACTTCATAAATATTTCACTAAGTCCATTGTGAGAATGGCAAAGTCGTTTCCCGCATCATAAAATTGTAGGGGAGGAACATGATATATGTCCAAAGTACTGCGTTTTGACTTTAAGTAATGTCAGCAACATTAATGCATCTAATTATTGAAACATAACTGCAAAATATGTTCTCTAAATATCTATAAGTACTGTATTGACCATTTCTGTCCTTACCTATAATTTCCTTATTTAAATTAATTGTGTATATAAGTATTGTAAAAGAGCAGCTTTTAAATTTCTATTCGGCCAATTCAAATCAATAGGAGATAAGATATTGCTTAAAAATATCATTTGCTACTGCTTAATCCACTGAAAATCATGTACAATAGAAGGAAACTGGGATGAAGACATGGAGGTACATTACTATTAACCTAGAGACCAAGCTGGTTTACACTACCTCAGAAACCTTCAACGCATTTAGAGTACCCAAAGGGTAGGAGATGAGGGAGGTACAGAGATGAGATGAGCCTGTTAGGGACAGACACAAGACAGAGCAAAATAAAGAAATATAAAGATGAATGACAAAGTTACATACATGTGTAACAATACATTTGTTCATGGGAATAGAAACATGGAGAAAGAAAAGCTAAATATTTAGAATATGTTGATTAAGTGAGCTTCACTTCAAAAACATGAAAAGTATGCACATAATTAAACTTGGAGAAAAATCAGTATGCCTAAAAATAATCAATATAGAAATAACAACTTTAAACACATCATACTAGAGACATTTTTGCCGTTAAGATTTCATCTTGACACCAAAGCTCTTCAGTAGCAATAATACAGCCTCTGAATTAGACTCATCAGTTGTGTCAACAATGTCATCTTGATTTTTTTTGGAACAATAGAAAATACCCTTATTATACAATGTTTAATTCTGTCTTTTACATGAATCTTTGAATAAGTTTTCTCTCAAGTATTATTCTAAGAATTATTATTCTAGCTTTTTATTCTTAAAAGTAGAACATCATGAAGGACAACTTTTAAACTCTTGGTATCTCATGAGACCACAGTATTTAAAAAACAATAAAGCATCGAAATATCTACACAGACATAAAAACATTGTGCATCTGAAAATAAGAAGTACAACATTTTTAAAAGAAGTGATTATAAAGCAATAAAACTGATTTCCAAAAGCTATAAATAAAAGTCAGTCACAATACATATGTGTACATTATTTTAAGGGCTGGAATCTGTGCAGGCCTAAAGAGTCAACTCATGCCCCATCCTTAAATCTAAATGTTCTCCAGGACCGTATGACTTTAAAAATAAATCAGAGCCTTTCTGTTCTGTAACTCCTTTTGAGATCCTAAATAAAAGGTACAACTGGGAATAATCAGAATAGGAGGGAGAAAAGATATGTGAAGGAAACAGTTAGAATTACTAGTAAAGAACACAGTGGAATAAAGACAGCCCACACCTAAGGAAAATAAGAGTTCTAAATTATATTTTTAAATATAAAGGTTATCACACAGATAACAGAGTTGTAATTCAAATATATCAAAATATAATTGAACACATGACCTAAATGATAAGTATGAATAATGATACGTTTTTCTTTCTAGATCATTTAATCCAAAGGTCTTAGTTTTATTTTCAGAAGTCCTCCTAGCTTCAAGGAATCATTTGAATATTCTTGATATATTTATTTCGAGTACTTTCCACTCATATCCATTTCAGGGTCCTAATGTTAAAGAAGATATTCTTTTTCTATTATTTTTTTGCTGTTGTTTTGCCAACTATAACTGTCACTTTGTATTGAAACATCAGAGTCAGACATTTAATTCTCACAGTTTTGATGCTTAATGAAAAGTGAAAGTTAAACACAGCATGGTTACATTAAAATGCATGGTGAATCCATAGCATCCTGTATCTTAGCCCTTAAGAGAATGTGCAGAACACAAAGAAAACAATTATACAAAAAGCAAAACTAGTGTATTTGGAGGCGAGACTGACAAATTTTCACAAATCACCAAAAAAGTTATGAACAAAATAGTGCAAACTTGGGGAAGAAAAGAAAAAGGAAATCACTATGTTATACATCTAATCTATAAGATAGGGAAGATTCATATTTGACATTTGAATTGAAATGTCTGATTGTTTAATCCTTGGGTCTACCACCAAGGCAGCGGCATGCTCAAGGACCAAGTCAATTGAAGAAGAAACCTTTATTCTATATGACTACTTTAGACTTTTTAAAAATAATCTTTGGTTAGTTTTTGAGAGAATCTCTATTGTTTACCTCTAAAGTAAAAGTATATTAAACAAAACGGAGATTATTACTATCCTTATACTTGGGAAGAAAAATGTTTTCTGTTTTCAAGTTCCTAGAAAATCCTTACTCCATTGAATTCCTATTCTATAATTTCAAAAGAAAAAAAATCAACCTTTTTGCATGAAATGCTACTAAAGAGATTTTCTCAAAGAGTAAGATTATGATTTTTACCATTTTGAATGTCTCGAAATCTTTGCATCTCTGTACGACTGCACAAAAAATTTTTAAACTATTGCATATTTTGAAACAATGTCAAATCTATATTTACAGCTATGAATTGTAATTTGTTTATGTAGAGTTTGTCAGCATCTAGAGTTCATAAATAGATTGAAAACCTTAGTAATAAAGGTCTTTCACACTTTTTCTTTCATTTCTGGATAGGAGATTTATTTCTAAATTGGTTAAGTCTATACATATTTCCAGAATTCTCAGCACCCATAATTATGCAAAGTATATAAGGAAGTAAAACAGAGTCACAGGAGGTGTTATAAGCCTAGGCTTAGAAAACCACTTCTGACAGCATACGCTACAACAATACTTAATTGGATATATGAATCTTGTTACAAATGTTTCCAAGTTTTTATTACCCTAACGTTTGCCTCAAAAGGATCTGAATGTGTTCAGACAAAGGCTGATTGTACAAATGGTGGCAGAAGCACTTCAGAACTACTCACATCCTAGTTCCCAGAAAAACTAAGCATTTGCCTGAATAAGACAAAAAGGCTCTCAGAAAACTTTGTACCTCTATGTATCTATTTGTGCAGTGGTGAATCAATGCTCTAATTCTATCATTTCTTCTTATGTTTAGCAGAGATTTAAGGCAATAACAGAGTACGTCTTGGTCTACGTGATACTACAATAAATGGTTCATCCAGTAAATTCAGCACATTTCTCCTTCAAGAACAAAATGAAGTAAAATTATTTTATAGTAAACATCCCCAGTGAAACCTGAGATATAAATTATGTTTAGTTCACAACCCAAGATCCTTGCTTTGTTGAATAAAAATATCATCCTTCTTACAGACATACATTTTATTGTCTGATTTCTAGGAAAAGTAATGAAATGATGGCAAAAGTCTATTTTCTTTAGATGTGTTTGCATTCATAGAGAGATAGTTCATGGGAATACTTTAAATAAGGCCTTCAGACTCACAGACATAAGCCGGTAGTCAAAATCAGTAAATACCTCAGTGGGTTCTCTTAACATCATCATATCAAATAAATACTAGTATTGCAAGCATAATAAAAGTGCTACATTTGTAAGTCTCAGAATATACACCCTTCACTTTGTCACTTCATATGTAACATAATTTAAGGTAAATTGTGATTAAGAATATGTATGTATTTTAAATAAATGATGTGACTCAAAGCAAGTTAAACATTTTCAAAATGTCCAGTGGATTCTACAAACACAAGATGTTACATACTATAAAGTACTTATAGCACTTAACTAACAATACAGCCTTCTCTCACTATCTGAAATTATAGTGCTCCTATGAAAACTTTCATGAGCAAAATGACATAAAGTGAAAAGTATCCTCTACTTTCCAAAAGTTCATATTACAGCACTTCACTTTTACAGAAGACCTACCTTAATACAGCAGCTTTTATTGTAAAAATGAAAATCTTCTTCAGATTCTTTTTGGATAGTGAAAACAGGTACTAAGATAGGTCTTTCTAAAAGCAAAGTGGTGAAAAGCAAATTTTTGGAAGGCAGAGATTACCTGTATGTGCACAACCACACTCATCTTTATAACAACAATGACACACTCAATCATTGAAGGGTTTTTAAAGGGTTTTAAAGGGTCTTTAAAACACTGAGTATTTCAAAAATCATTTTGCCACTAAGAACTTTTTCTAGTTCTGAGATATTTAATGATCATTGAGTTGTGAAAATATTTCTTCTATTTGTATATATTTGATTCACTGGTATAAAAACTGGTAAAAAAATACCCATATAAAGCAAAGACTTGAGAAAACTGATTTTCATGCATTTGTATTTAAGGCATCTGAAGTTTTTGAAAATAGGAGTGAAATTATATAAGATAGTCCATGTCAATACATATACTTCAGTCCATTTGTAGAAATCAGAATCTTTCTAGTAAAGCATTTAAAATTATTTCTCATTAATTTTTATCTTTTAAAACTGGGAACTGTTTGAGCTGAAGGAAGTTTAACAAACTCATATCATCCTCCTGATAACTTTATTTTGCTTCAAAAGACTAATGGAAAGGATGGATAATAACCAGAGATCACTAAGCAACTCGCTTAATGTCAATGTTGAAGGAGATTTGCAAGGAGAGAATGCAAGAGAGAATAAAATACACTGGAAGGATAAAACAGTTTGAGACATACACCATAAGGGATAAGATTGTTAGAAAACAATGGTTGGTGTCATCTGTGTTGATGTTGCAAAGATAGTTAAGTGTAGAGGCTTCATGGACATTGAAGATGCATGACTGCACGCAGCAATGGGCCCATCAGCTGGAAATCAGGCTTAGGATGTAGAGCCACAAGCAATGCACTAGCTGGTCTTTTCAGTTGAAATCTCTAATGCAATCTGTTGACCATGAGTTACATGAAACCAACATCTTTTTCCACAAATATTAAATGGTAATCATTACTCATTTTAACTAAAAAAAAAAAAAACCCTAAGTTAAAGCATTGTCTTATATTCAAACTCTGGGACAAAGAATAGGACCTTGTATAGGAAGCAACGAATGCTCAGTTTATATTTGCTGAATGAGTTTATAATTTATTGGATAAAAATTTCCCTTGCATTCTTTCATGAACCGCTCAGGAAACTTAAATTCTTTGCTAAAATTTCTACAGTTTGATGCTTGATAATAAGGCTTTCTATGTACATGAAAAGAAACAATTCCACTAAAACAATATGAATTTCAATAGATCATTTTCAAACATATTTTAAAAGATTTATAAGCACTTTGATACATCAGGCACTTGTAATAAACATAAAGAGTACAATAAAGAAACAGTTACCATTTTTATCCATGGAATTTGGTTCTGATTGTTTCTTGCCAATATCAGCAAAGGAACGAACAATGGGAATCCTGTTGGTGAGTTTTTTCTGATTCTGGTGGTGATGCTGTTTCATTAGTGCCTCGTGAACTCTGTGACGTACATCGTCATTGAGCTGACCTGAGCTCACCTGTTGGTCAAGGACCATATCTGAAGAGGGATGGCAGGAAGAAAATTAGCACAGCTTTCCTCTGATAAGAGCAGCAAACCACTAAATCCAAATATACACACCCTAGATAACCATATACATCTTAAAATAGTAATGAATTCCTTTAAAAGTCTCTCAAGTATGGCCTTACAAACAAAAGGTTATCTTTGTAGAAATGTGGTACAAGAAAGATGGGGAAGTTTTATTATAAACTATTCTATTTTAAAGACATAATGATTTTATGGAGAATTATTTTTCAAGTGGATGTAGTTGTATTGAGATCAAAGCGCTTTATGTTCTTCATTACACTGATGGGAGGGAGCAGAGGTGACATCAATATAATTAATATGTTTACAATTGGAAAGTAGTTTTGCATTTATATTTTTCATATTATATGCGTTCTCCCTTTTTTCTAATAGAGAATAATTTCCCTATTTCCTCTTAAGCAAACAAATCTTTTTTTGCTGAATCTGTAAATATTTCATGCGAGGAGGCATAGGCAGCTATCTACATGGTTGCATTTGGAGAGTAAACAAGTTTTAACATCGATATAAATTCAGTCCTCACAAACCGTCCTCAAAAACATGTTTACATTGAAAAGGTATTCTATCCCCATAAACCAAGAGTGAAAAGTGAGTTTTCAGAAGGCTATAATTAGACTGATATTTACCATACAGACTGTGAGAAATGCCTATATAAAAAGTAGATGAATAAAGGTATTCTAAGATTCTTGGCAATACAAAGATCACCTCAGTAAATCTCAATGTAATTAATCTGCTTTCAGATTATCAAATATTAACACTATTTGATTTTTCAAGGCACTAACTCCTTCTGCAGATCACAAAAAAATGCCTTCCACTGCCTTTCTGAGTTTACTGAAGATGTTAAATTAGCAGAATTCTCCCACACAAATAATTTTTTCCTTCAGTGTGAAAGGGAAATGGACAAGGGACATAGGCTTGGGTCATGGTACCACATGTGTCACCTTGTAAAGCTGAATAACCTCAGGATCCTTATTTGTAAGATGGAAATAATATCTGTAACATATGTTATTGCCAGTACTAAGGAGATAAAGCACCTAATGCACTGACTGGAATATTGAGGCCCTCAGTAAATATTTCCCAGAACAGGAATTTCTTTGCAATTTCCATTAAGTAGGTTATGGGTCCTTGCTGGGTTAGCAATATTTGTATTAGACAAAATAGACTTCAAGACAAAGTCTATAACAAAAAAAGGAAGGGTATTATATAATGAAAAAGAGGTCAATCTAAGAGGATAGAACATTTGTAAATATTTATGCATCCAACATTGGAGCACCTAAATATAAAAAACAAAATATATGAAACAAAAATATAGAACAAATATTAACAGACACTAAGGGAGAAATTGACACCAACACAATATCAGGTGATTTTTAACACCCCACTTACATCAATGGATAGATGATCCAGACAGAAAAACAATAAGAAAACATTGGCTTTAAGTGGCATATTAGACCAAATAAACTTACAGAATATTCCACCAAAAAGCAGCAGAATACACATTTTTTAAGTGCAAATAGGCCATTCTCCAGAATAGAGCAAATGCTAGACCACAAATCAAGTCAATAAATTTAGGTAGATTGAAATTAAATCAAGCATTTTTTCTGACCATGTGGTAAGAAATTAAAAATGAATTACAAGAAGAAAATTGGAAAAACCACAAACACATGGTTTCTAACAATGTGCTACCAAACAACCAATGGGGAAAGCAAAAAATACCTTGAGACAAATGAAAACGGAAAGACAGCATTCCAAAATCTATGAGGTACAACAAAGGCAGTCTTAAGAGAGAAGTTTGTAGTGATACAGGCTTACCTCAAAAAACAAGAAAAATCTCGAATAAACAATCATACTTTACACTAAAGAAAGTAGAAGAACAAAAAACAAAGCCCAAAGTTAGAAAAGAAAGGAAATAAAAACCAGAGTGGAATAAATCAAATAAAAACAAAGAAAAATCAGTGAAACTAAGAGTTGGTTCTTTGAAGAGATAAAATAGATAAACATTCGGCCAGACTCAAAAAGAAAAAAGGAGAAAGGGCTGAAGTAAATCAAATAAGAAATGAAAGAGAGTTCCAACTGATACCACAGAAAAACAAAGGATCAAAGAGTTGACAAAACAATTATATGCCCACAAATTGGACAACTTAGAAGAAATGGATACATTCCTAGAAACACACAATCTTCAAAGACTAAATCATGAAGAAAGAAATCTGAATAGGTCACTTACTAGTAAAGAGTAGTGGGAGTCAAAAAACTGATAAAAGTCCAGGATCATCTAGCCTCACTAGTGAATTCTACCAATCAAAGATTTAATACCTGTCCTTCTGAAACTCTTCCAAAAAAATGGAAGAGGAAAGAACACTTTCAGGCTCATTTTAAGAAGTCAGAATTACCCTGATACCAGAGAAATATGCTACTATAAAAGAAAACTATAGTCTGATATCTCTGATGAATATAGATGCAAAAATCCTCCACAAGATATAACCTAACTAAATTCGACAATACGTTGAAAGGATCATACACCACAATCAAGTGGGATTTATTCCAGGGATGCAGGGATAGTGCAGTATTCACAAGTCAATCAGTGTGATACACCACATTAACAGAAAGAATAATAAAAACCATATGATAATCTCAATGGATGCAGAAAAAGCATTTAACATTCAACACTCACATACAATAAAAACTCTTAACAGAGTGGGTATAGAGGGAATGTACCTCAACATAATAAAGGCCATATGTGGCAAATGCACAGCTAACATCATGTTCAAAGTTAGTCAAAAGCTGAAAGTTTTCCTTTAAAATCAGAAACAACAGAAAGATGCCTAATCTTGCCACTTTCATTCAACATAGTAATGGAAGCTCTAGCCACAGGAATAGGCAAGAAAAATAAATAAAAGGTATCCAAATTGGAAAGGAAGAAGTAAAACTCTTCACTATTTGCAGATGACATAAAACCATATATAGAAAACCTTAACAACTCCACCAAAAAACTGTTAAAACTAATAAATGAATTCATTAAGTTACAGTATACAATATTAATATATAAAAATGGTTGCATTTCTATACACTAACAGCAAACTATCAGAAAAAGAAATCAAGAAAAAAATCCTACTCACAATTACATCAAAAAGAATAAAATACCAGGAATAAATTTAACCAAGGAGGTGAAAGACCTGTAATTTAAAAAGTTTGAGATACTGATGAAAGAAATTGATTAAAGAAGATACAAATAAATAGAAAGACTTACCATGTTCATGGCTTAGAAGAATCAATACTGTTAAAATGTTCATACCGCCAGAGCAGTCTACAGATCTACAGATTCAACACAATCTCTGTCAAAATACCAATGGCACTTTTTTACCGAATTGGAAAAAGTAATCCATAAATGTGTATGGAACTACAGAAAACTCCAAATAGCCAAAGTAATCTTGAGAAAGAAGAAAGTGGTGGTATTATGGTCTCTGCTTTCAAACCATACTACAGAACTGTAGTAATCAAAACAGTATGGTACTGGCACAAAACAGACACATAGATCAATGGAACAGAATAGAGAGCCCAGAAATGAATACACATATATATATGGCCAATTAATCTCTGATAAAAGAAGCAAGAATATACAATGAGGAAAGGACAGTATCTTCTATAAAATGGTTCTGGGAAAACTGGACAGCTACATGCAAAAGAAAACTTGACCATTATATTACACCATATATAAAAATTAACTCAAAATAGTTAAAGATTTAAATATAAGACCAGAAGCCATAAAACTCTCAGAAGAAAACAGAGAGAGTTAGCTCCTTGATGTCAATCTCTGCAATATTTTCTTGGACCTTTCTCCAGAGCAAGGGCAATAAAGGCAAAAATAAACAACTGGGGCTACATCAAACTAAAAAGCTTCTGTATAACACAGGAAATTATCAACAAAAGGAAAAAGCAACCCAATGAATAGAAGAAAATTTTACAAATCATACATCTCATAAGGAGCTAACACCCAAAATACATAAAGATCTCATTCAACTCAATAGCAGAAAAACAAATAATGCAAATAAAAAATGGATAAATCTGAACAGACATTTTTCCAAAGAAGACCAGTATTTCCAAAAATGGCCAATAGGCACATGAAAAGATGTTCAACATCACTTATTACATGAGATATCACCTCAACCTGGCAGAATGTCTATTATCAAAAAGACAAGAAATAGAAAGTGTTGGCAGGGTGTAGAGAAAAATGAAACCCTTGTACACTTGGTGGGTATGTAAATTGGTGCAGCTATTGTGGAAAACAGTATGGAGGTTCTTCAAAATAAAAACGGAACTATTATTCAATCTGGAAATTCTTCATTTGGGTATATATCCAAAGAAAATGAAAACACTAATTTGAAATGATACATGCATCCCTATGTTTATTGCAGCATTATTTACAATAGCCAAGATATGGAAACAACCTAAGTGTTCAACAGATGAATGGATAAAGAAGATTTAATTCTTTATGGGAGATATGTGTGTGTGTGTGTATATATATATATATATACATATACACATATGGGAGATATGTAGATATAGATACAGATATAGATATAGAAATAGATCACAATACTACTCAGTCATAAAAAGAAGAATTAAATCTTGCCATTTACAACATGGATAGACCTGGAAGTTATTATGCTAAATGAAATAATTCAGACAGAAATAAACAAATACAATATGATTTCTATATATGGAATCTATCAAACAAAACAAAATAAAACCAGATTCACAGATACAGAGAACAGATTGATATTTGCTAAGGAGAAGTGATTGGAGTGTGGGTGAAATGGGTGAAGGGGATTAAGAAGTACAAACTTCCGGTTATAAAATAAATAAGTCATGGGGATGTAATGTACAGCATGGGTAATATAAGCAATAATATTTTTTTAACTTTGGTGAAGATGGTAGGTAGATTTGTTATGTTGAACAAATGTATACAAATATTGAATCACTATGTTATACACCTGAAACTAATACAATAGTGTATATCATTTATACTTCAATAAAAAATTTTTAAAACAACACAAAAATCAAATATCTAAAAGGATGAATTTCATTGGTTCACATAATGGAAATACTGAAGTTAGGCTGGATTTAATTTCATTTCTCTGTGATTCTATCCACTACCCCTCCTCTAGGTGAGCTTTAACCTGAGGCTAATTTTTATTATAGTCATAAGGAGGAAATACTTATCCTCATTCACATCTATAGAAGTTTTGCCTTTTTGTGACTTTTCTTTCCCTGCCCAATAAAAATTCTCCTAAGTACAACTGACATAGTCCTGCCTATGCTGAGCCAATCACTGGGAAAGGAGATAGGCCTCCCAAGATAGGCTTAGACTAATCAAAATCCGTATTTGCTCTGGAGGCAGTTTTGTAAACCAGAAATTTTTCTGTAATGGGACAGATAATGAATATTTTTGGCTTTCTGGGTGATAGAATCTCTGTTACAATTTCTCAACTCAAGCTTTTATAGAATGAGAATAGACATAGACAGTGTGTAAGTAAATGAGAATAGTTATGTTTCAATAAAACTTTTTTATGGACACTGAACTTTGAATTTCATGTCACAAAATATTAACCTTTTTATTACCTTTGCAGTCATGTAAAATGTAATAGCCATTCTTAGCTCTTAAAACTGATAAAATCAGGCAGTGGGCCAAATTTGCACATAGAGTATAATCTACCAACCTTTGCCGTTTCACTTTGCCGTTTACAATGGAAAGAGGTAAAATGCATGACTCGGAGCCAGCCGTAGTGTCCACTATAATTACCTGCAAACTACCTTTTAATTCCAAAAAGTTGTGATAGTACAGAACATTTAAATCTGTGTTTCTCTTCTTTGGAGATCAGTAATTATAATACCCCTGAATTAATTTGAAATAAAGGAAATGATATATTGCGACTTTACACAACGTATATGACTTTACACTGAAACCTTGTTATGATGGAAAATGTATATAAAATATATACTACATATTTCATAATGGGAATTGTAAAGTAGGTCATTAAAACACCAAAAGGACACCACTGCATGGAGTTTCATCTGTAAGCCATGATGTATCCCCAGTTCAATATTCTAACAAGAATCAAAATCACATAATAATCCCCTTGCACATGGTTATGATTTTTAATTCCTACCAAAGCACAATCTTTCCAGTTTTGAACACCACAAATACTCAAAAGTCACTAGTTTTACAATTTTTCAGAGATAAGATCTTTACTGGAAATAGTTTTGTAAGAAAGAGTAAACAGCAACAAAAAACCTCAGTTGCTCATTAGTCACACAGAAATACACAGCAGACTCTTCTTTGGTATTCCTGCGGCAAATAACATCTTAATGAACTGGGAAAGTTAATCATTTTTCTTAAGACTGTAACTCATACTGAGAAGAGATTTAAGTACCAAAAGGAGTCTGACTCGCTAATCTCTTACATTGTTGTCTTCGCCACTCTATTATGTATTAGTATTAGCCTTGAAAAGTAGGAAAGGATAATGGACCATAATGGCTTTGAGCCCAGAGTCATGTCCTACCATCTCAGCAGGCTGATGCCTAAATAACACAGTCTAGCCTGCCAAAGCATAATGCCAGGATCTGGGCGATAAGAGAAACAGCAAGAAAGAGAAGGGTAAATAGGTCACACTCTTCCAGCACTAGCAGGCTCTGGAGAAAACTAGTACTGTTTGGTAAAAAGGCCTCAGAAAATTTTTTAAAAATTAATTCTAATTAGGCAAGGATTTTGTCATCATCAATCCATATTGCCTGCTGAATGAAAGCATCTAGAGACCCAGATTTTACAGGTTCTGTGTAAATCTCTATCTACTTAAGGATTATCTTACAAATGTTTTTTCTTAAGAACCCATTCATTGTCTTAACTTTAAAAGATGCTGGGAGAGGAAGGGGGAATGGAAGAGATCTAAATTCTACAGATTGGTTGACAGCATGAGAAAGAGTGTATGTGCTTAAAATGTATATTACCATAAGAATACTTACTTTTCAGACCAAAGATGGTAATAGGACAGGCATGTTAAAAAATATATGGCTATTCCTTTACTCCCTAATCTGACGATTGCATTCAGTGGAGTAAACTATGCATTTTTCCTTCGGTGAAAGATTTTTAACAACAAAAGTTGTTTTAATGAATGGAGAGCTATGATAATCTGTCCATGGAACTAACTTTGGTTTAGTTTTAATTTCTTACTCTTATAGATGGAATTAGGTTAAGGTATACACACTGCAGAGAAAATATTTTTATTATTAATCTTTATAGTGATGAATTTCAAGATTAACATAGCCCATAAAATTGCCTATAATTCACATAAGTATAATTAAAATGCATTTTCAATACAATTAATCCCCTTATCAGAATAAGCCATGGTAAGAAAATGTACCTGGAGAATTCTGGATTTGGAAAGGTTAAGTAATAGTTCGAAGGAAGAAGTTCAAATTTATTCTGAGTTCCATGAAACATTGGGAAATAGATATTTTTAAATTAACTTTATCCAAAAGAAAATCCTATTTTAATTATACCAGAAATTCTTGACAGCCCTGCCAGATACAAATGGGATTTTCTCCTGCTAAGTCTGTAAAAATCTCTTTAAAGAATTATCTAAGAGTCTATTAAAAACATATCAGAACACTGATATAAAAGCCTTTCATCATTCTAAAACAATATCTGAGTCATATCTAGAAAATATCTAGAAATATCTAGAAAACATTAATGCTGCAAAGCCTGTGTCTTCACAAAGCACTAGGGTTTAGAGCCCTGAGATACACTATTATATTGTTAGAAAACTGAAACTAGTGATGTTAGTAACTGTGCAACATATAGAAACATATAAATAAGAAGTGAAGAAAAAGGTTTAGGTCTTATCATTAATCGCTATCATCACAAATTATCATGAAATAAAATAAAACAAAATCTATGATTATAGGTTAATCAAAAGAAATGATTCCCATCTCTGCAAGTATTATCACTTTTTACTTATCAGTTCATAAAATAGGGGAAATAGCCTCCTCCATACCTCATAAGGTTGCTATGATAAAAAAATACAGTAATAGATGTGAAAACACTAAGTTAGAAGTCTTAAAATGAAAAGCATACTTTTTATTACACACTTAATAGTAATATAACTCAATTGTCGCTAAGTAAAAATAATAGTAACACAATAAGAAAATGATTACAAGCTATGGGAGAAAATGTGTTAACAGAGTTTTATTAAGGGCAGAAATAAATACCTTTGGGTTAATAAGTGAAACTGAAATTACTCAAAGAGAAAGGATCTCTTTTCATTAGTGATTGAAAAGGAATCTATGATAATAATAATCAGACAAGTATTTCTAATCATATTTCTATGTGATATTACGTCTAAACTACTGACCTCTTCTGAATGGCATTTTTACACTAAAACTGGGACACCCAAATTGGGTTACTTTGGAGATAGAAAGATACAGACCAGTTAAGAAGAGCAACTATGAAGAGCATTTTCTGTTCAGTTCTAAACTGAATTATTTTTCCTTTGCACTAAAGTTTTTTAATTTGGTTATTTCATATATTTGAATATTGAAAAAAATACATTCCAAGCTTTATAGGTTTTTCCTTCAATTTTCTCATGGTGGTGATTTAATTAAATATGACAGCGCAAACTACTAAATACTAAGTGGGAGCAGGATATCTAGGTTCTTATTCTAGAGTTGCCACTGACAAGTTAGGCCATATTTCTCTGAGAATCAATTTCTTTTATATTAAATAAGGGAGGAGAAGAAAATCATTTTTAAGGTCATTTATGCTAATCATGTGAATTCGTTTTCTAAAGGTCACACAGATACAGAGTTATAAGGAAAAGGGAATCGCAAAAATCGGCTGTACCTACGAGTGAAGAAAAAAAGAAGTGAGAAAAAAGAGACTGAGAAAATAAGATATACCTGCAATTTCTTCTAAAGTGTTGGCATGCATGTCTAGCAACACAGTTCCATTCAGAATACAACTTCTTAACTCAAACAAGCTGTGCAGTGAGAGAGTAGCCACATAAGGCTTGCTCCACCTTTCTCCTCCATCTTCCACATCTTCTTCAAACTTCAACCACCTAAACAAATGTACATTATGAGCACACTGGATATTCTGTTGCATGAGAACAATCCTTTATCCCAATAACAAAAGGTAGACATAGAAAAATATTCATATTGTTTCTTGGTTTTGTGGGTGTTAGAAGTAAGTAAAAGTTAACCCAAGTCATTTGGCTTATTTCACTTTCATCCCATTTAATAAGCAATCTTTTTGTCATTGAAAGATATATTGAAAACAAAGAGAAACATATGTTATTTGCATTAGTCTAGGTCTGAAAAAAAAATTTTAATACAAATCTTTAAGCAGTGGCCACAGTGAATCTGCTTTGTAGAATTAGTAAAGAGAATAGGCTTCATGGAAAACTAATTGAAATTGAAAAAGATGCAAGAGAAAACGAAATCATGTTCATTTTTTCTTTAATGGGAGGTCTTAAAACTGATTATTTGAGTATCCTGATAACTGCTCTGATTTTTAGGGCTGCTAGTACAACTTACATATTCTACAGGAAAAATACTTGTTAGGCATGTTTGGATATAATCTAGTGAGAGCAGTCGTTTCCAAGGCACTAAACCTGTGAGAACTGAGCTCAGCCCCCAATCCCGGGGCCTTCCAGGGATGAGGAAAGAACAGCCTTCACATCGTGGTGTCGAATGGGAGATCAACATCTTTTTGGAGTGAAATGAAATGTAATACCTGTTTCTAGGATAAATGAAAGGCATAAAGGAAAACCAATGATTTTACTGCTCTGGCACAAGCTCTTACTCTTGTTCTTCAGGGACTTGCTCTCTAATTCCAATAGATGACCAATTTAGTTCCACTGTTTCTAATGAACCACAGGCGAAACTGTCTTTTCTTCCCCACCCCTACTATTTTCCTCATTCCTTGTCTCCTTAGTCATTTGTACTCTTAATTCCTCTCTCCATGCACTATCACTCAAATTCTCTCTGTATATTATATTACTGCTTATGCATTATGTAATCCAACTCCAACAGAGGACCAGTATGTTGCAGTAACTAATCAGAGAATCAGTGGACTAACCAAAACAACTTAATAAACGGGCTACTTAGAATGATTAATGTGCAGCGTTCCAAGAAAGCTATGAATCTGTTCTCAGTGTTCAGGGAGCAAAAAAGTCAGGAAGAATGGCTGTGCCTGCCAAGAGTTTATAGACAGGTAATAGCTATGCCTATCACCAGTTTACAGGTTGAAAAAATTTACATTTAAGCCCTAAATCACTGATGGTATCCCTTGAATCCTAGCAATTTTACCGAATATTTTTGTCTACACAGTTGGGAATTTTTCATACTAACGAGTCTAAACAATTTCAGCCCTTAACATAATACTTCATTATTATGGACCATAATACTTCATAAATCATCTGATGGTCATAATACTGCTCATCAAGTATAACTAATTCTCCCTTTCTTCCTAGTAGAGTAGAATAACCCTATGGCTCCCTTTTAACTTGTTGACTGTTGACAGGCTTTGAACAGTGAACTGTGAGCAGAAATTATGTGTGTCACTTCCAGACTGGAGTCTTTCATTGCCAGATGAGACTTTCTAGAGCTCTCTTTTTCCCTGATGTGATCACCAGCAATTCTGCTCTATCATCTGGGGTCTCTAAGTAACTATGAGGAATGGATGTGCAGAGCCTCCACTGATTTATGAATGGACATGTATCATGAGCCATAAATAATCCTTTGTGATTTTAAGCCTTTGAGATTGCAGGATTTTGATAGCATAATTTAGTCTATCCCAACTGATACAGATGACCATTTTTGCAAATGTTTGTTTTTTGGGTACACTGTGAAGTTTAGATTGATTGAGGATATTTTTTACCTTTAGATCTCTTAGTGTGCCAGTCCCATTTGCTGAAAGTCAACCCTTCCTCCACTTAATAGCTTTTGCTGTTTGTCAAAAATCAGTTAGCTGTACTTTGGTTGCTGTTTCCTAGTTCTCCATTTTGCTCCATTAGTCTATGTATCTACCTGACAGATATTTTAAAAACAACCTTTAGAATAATTTCCTTCAAATTGGAGGCTTAGGCTTTTAAAAAAGAAGAATGGAGTCTCACGGAGGTCTAAGCAGTTTGGGGGTTAAGATGACCAAATCTAAGTTATATGCATGGATGGTTTGATAACTCACAGGTTTCATGAATATTACAGGAGGAAGCGTAAGATACTTTCCATAAAAAGGAAACCACAAGTTACAAATATGAAGTTACTAAAAATTTCAAGACTCAACTTCAGAATGATGCCAAAATCTTTAAGAGGTATTTAAACGAATATTTTTAAAAGACTATTTTAAAAATCACACACACACACAAATATATCTCTCTCTTTCCTGTTTTATTTTATGTTTTTCATTCCATTTTTTACTTCAAAGATAGAAATGAAGAGGTCTGGCAACACAATAAATCCTGTTTCAAAGTTAGTATTACTAACTAGACTGTCAGTTGCAAAATGCCTGATTGCAGTTAATGACCTAAAGTGCTGCAATTTATTCTAGTTTTCAAATAAACTCAGTTGACATTTGCTTGAATAGCAAACCAAAGCAAACAAGAGCTTCACAGGCATGAATGAGATGTGATGGGCAAGGAAAAAAAAATCAAAATTTAGGCCAATTGCATGACATTTTCTATGGCAGATTTAAACTCTGATGAGATTATTTTCATTTCCTTCAGTGTGTCTGAATATCTTTTCATCCATAATTAACACATTGGAATCTCTCTCTACTAAACAACACAAATTATGAGTTTCATTAGTTCTTTTAGGATTAAATTGATGATTCTCTCCTCTGTAACACTCATGTTAAAAATCTGAAAAATAAAAATATTCTGCAACATTTTCCATGGAAATTAACACTTTCTGTTTTATTCCTACTAATTCAGTTTAACCTAAGAATTGTTATTGTCTGAGTCTATCCAAATAGGAAGTAAAATATCATCCAAAAATATAGATTTAAGGGAAGTCATGAATTCTTAAAACAAATTTTTCTGGGGTACAATTGAGGATATGGAAGATGAAGGGGGGACGTGGTTAGGGTAGAGATTCGAGAATAACATATGCAATCATAAAGTGCCTATTTTAAGGGGAAAGAGAAAATGAAATATATTCAGACCTAGAGCTTATTGACATTAGCAGTCCTCAATACATATACTATCTTCATATCTCACACTGCACTAAAAATCTTGATGTCTTAAACCTTTACTAATTTTGAATATCAAATGCCTCACGGCATCAAGAAAATTGTTTCGATGTAATAATCCTTTTCTACACGACCATGTATCAGAGGCCTGTTGCCCCCTGCTTTGCCTCTTCTGAGCTCATTGTGGGAAGCACTTTCAAAGGGCAAGCACAGTGAGTCAAGCATGTTGTCTTCACAATCGCAGTGTGCTATCATTGCATGCTTTTCTATTAATAATATTACATGTTATTTATACTGAGGACATTGTAATTGTGTTGATTTCCTTAGCCCTTGTCATATGGCTTCTTTTTGGGGCTTTTAAGAGTGAACAGCTGTTTTTCACAAACATTTATTAAATAACTATGATTCAAAAATTTAGTTTCAAAATCTAAAACTTTGCTTAAGTTTTACTTGACAACATGGGCATGAATTATTCAAGATGTGATATGTGACAGGTGCAATGTGCTGATAAAATATCCTTTCTATTTCTACTATTTAGGGAGGAAATTTATTAATCCCCCCTAGAATATTAATCAGGAGAAGGAAGTGTTTCAAATGTTTATGCAAATGATTTATTAGAACTAAATTGCATTTGAAAAATCAGATGGAGTTATGAATTAACTAAAATTAGTCTTTTTTAGATGAACTAGGGCAACCAGAACAAAATTACTTTTACCACTTTAAAACCCACTATATTTCTAAGTCCTCACTAAATACATTCTGTTCTTCTTTGACATATTGTATCTCAGCCAAAATTCATCTACCCTCCTCTTCAATGTCTGTTACTATTTTTATTGCTCATCAGATGTCTCCCTGAATATGAAATAGCTGCACCATGCATAGAGTTCCAGAAGCATGGCTAAAAACACAGGTCTTAACTAATAATATTAGAGAATATTAATAATTAACTGAGTAATCTCTTAAAGAATACATTTTGTAGTTAGTAATACATTTTAGTAGTGTAGGATAAACATGTTGTTCAAGCTAATCCATTAAAGCATGACAAAACTCTACTTGCTCAACTATGACATAATGAAAGAGCTAGATTCTAGTACTGTTCTGCCCCTCCCTAGCTTTATGAAAATGGGCAAATTATAGGGAACTTCCTGGTTAAAAGGAACAAATCATTATGTGATCAGGAAGGTGAAAAATCACCAGCCACCTTTATGAATAAAGGAGTTACTCCCACCAAAAAATACATTCCAGTCTTATTTCTCAGCTCTATCATGTCGTATTAGAGTATCATGTAGTATTAGAGTATTAGAGTATAGAGTATATCATGTAGTAATATAAAAAAATGCTTTCAAAAAGGAGCTCTCAACAATAAATTAAAGAGACTCAAACCAAACAGAGCTCTATAGTCATCGCAACTACCAAATAACCATCCTTGAAGTCATCCAGGAACACCTACAGGCACACCTCAAGATATTACAAGTTTAGTACCATACCACCACAATAAAGTGAATATTGCAATAAAGTCAGTCGAATGAATTTCTGGATTCCCAAATGCATATAAAAGTTATGTTTACGCCACCTGTAGTCTACTAAGTGTGCAATAGCATTACATCTAAACAAACAATGCACATACTTAATTTTAAAATACTTCATTGTTAAAGAATGTTAACCGTCATCTAAGTTTCCAGCAAGTTATAATCGTTCTGCTGGTGGAGGGCCTTGCCTCGATACTAATGGTTGCTGAAGGCTGGGGTGCCCCTGGAAATTTCTTAAAATAAGACAACAATGAAGTTTGTCATATTACTTGACTCTTCCCTTTCACGACAAGTTCTCTGTAGCATGTGATGCTTTTTGATAGCATTTTACCATAGAACTTCTTTCAAAATTGGAGTCGATCCTCTCAAACCCTTTTGTTGCTTAATTAACTAAGTTGATGTAATCCCCTGTTGTCATTTCAGCAATCTTCACAGCATCTTCACCAGGAACAGATACCATCTCAAGAAACCACTTTATTTATTCATCCATAAGAAACAACTCCTCATCCGTCCAAGTGTGATCTTGAGATTACAGCAATTCAGTCACATCTTCAGGCTCTCCTAATTCTAGCTCATTGCTTTTTCCACCATATCTGCAGTTATTTCCTTCACTGACGTCTTGAACCCCTCAAAGGCATCCATTAAGGTTATAATGAACTTCTTCCAAACTCCTGCAGATGTTGACATTTTGACCTTTTCCCATGCATCATGAATAGTCTTAATGATGTGTAGTATGATGAATCCTTCCCAGAGATTTTCAACTTGCTTTGCCCAGATGCATCAGAGGAATCACTATCTATGGCAGTTATAGCCTTATGAAATATATTTCTTCAATAAGATTTGAAAGTCAAAACTACTCCTTAATCCATGGGCTGCAGAATGGATGTTGTGTTAGCAGGCATGGAAACAACAATGATCTCATGGTGCATCTCCACAACATCTGGGTGACCAGGTGCATTGTCAGTGAGCAGTAATATTTTGAAAGGAATCTTTTTCCTGAGCAGAGGGTCTCAACAGTGAGCTTAAAATATTGTAGATCATGTTGTAAACAGACGTGCTGTGATCCAGGCTTTGTTGTTCCATTTACAGAACACAGGAAGAGTTGAGTTAGTATAATTCTTAAGGGCTCTAGGATTTTTAGAGTGGTCAATGAGCACTGGCTTCAACTTAATGTCACCAGCTGCAGTAGCTCCTACCAAGAGAGTCAGCCTATGCTTTGAAGTTTTGAAGCCAGGTATTGACTTTGCCTGTCTAGCTCTGGAAGTCCTAGATGGCATCTTCTTTCAATGTAAGACTATTTTTCCGACACTGAAAATATGTTGTTCAGTGCAGTGCCCTCGTTAATGATCTTGGCTTGGTCTTCTGGATGACTCGCTGCAGCTTCTCCATCAGCGCCTGCTGCTTCACCCGCACTTTGATGTTACGGAGACGCTTCTTTCCTAAAACCTTATGACCCAACCTCCGCTAGATTCCAACTTCTCTTCTGAAACTCCCTCTGCTTTCTCAGCCTTCACAGAAGAGAGGTAGAGCCTTGCTCTGGATTAGACTTTGGCTTGCGAAAATGCCAGTGGCTTGTTTGATCTTCTATCCAGACCACTAAAACTTTCTCCACATTAGCAGTAAGACTATTCTGCTTTCTTTTCATTCCTGCATTCCTTGGAGCAGCACTTTCAATTTCCTTCAAGAACTGTGGCTAACTGGTGTCAGAGGCCCAGCTTTTGGCCCATCTTAGCTTTCATATGCCTTCCTCACTAAGCTTAATCATTTCCAGCTTTTGATTTAAAGTGAGAGATGCGTCTCTTCCTTTCACTTGAACACTTAAAGACCACTGTGATTTCACTACTATTGTGCCTCAGGAGTAGGGAGGTCTGAAGAGAGAGAGACGGACAAGGGAAGGCCACTCTGGAGAGCAGTCAGAACACACACGTTTATCAATTAAGTTTTCTGTCATATACAGGCAAGGTTCACGGTGCCCCCAAACAGCTACTGTAATAACATCAAAGATCCCTGGTAACAAATCAGCATGACAAATAGAGCAATAATTTAAAAGTTCAGGGTATTGCAAAAAATACCAAAATGTGACACAAAGTGAGCAAATGCTGTTAGAAAAATAATGCTGATAGACTTGCTCGACACAACCCTTCAGTTTGTAAAAAACACAGTATCTATGAAGTACAATAAACCAAAGCTCAATAAAAAAAGGTATGTCTGTATTTCTTTACTTCTTTATTAACAGCTCTTTAATCATGAAAGAGCAAAAGTTATAATACTAATTGATGGGGAACATAATCATGTATTGCTTTTGTGTCATCAAATGAAGATAAAACTTAAGTTTTTGAAAAACTTGCTAGTATTTAGTGTTTGATGCAGTTGGAAGAAAAAAGTAAGATAGTTCTTAATCTTAAAATTTATCAGATCATATAAAATGACTTAAAATTTAGTTGTATTTTGAAAATATTATAATAGAAAACATTAGAAGGAAATTAATATGCAATTTTTTTCATTAAAGAAGATAATTTATACAGAATAACATACCACCAATTTAAGGTATTGAAAAAGACAAATAAGGAGAATAATGAATGATTTGACATAAAACAGATAAAGGAAATGAACAATTGATTCAAAGGGAAAAATAAATAAAAATATATAAAAAGATGTTCAGTCTCTCACACTAATTAAGGAAATACAAATGAAAACAATGATATTTGTTCTATAAAATCAGTAAAAAAAATTTTAAGTTTGAAGATTTAGTGTGGCAACTATTTAGGAGAAATAAGAACTCTCATACACTCATGATGGAAGTGCAAATTACTAAAACATTCTATGAAGACAATTTTGCAATGTCTACTGAAGTAAAAAAAGTCTGCTCTTTTTGGTATTTAAGTTCTACTGTTAGAAATTCACGCTACATAAATACCTACAAAATAATGCCAAAACATACTGGTAAGCAATCACTACAGCAATGTTGATAGCAAAAAAATAAAAATAAACATCCTAAATCCCTATGAAGAGTGGCTAAATAAAGTTCACCCAATAATTAAATGTAATTCAGTCATTAAAAAGATTGAGTAATCTATATTGACAGCATGGAAAATGGTCCAAATATGTTATTAAGTGATGAAAATAAAGCATGAACACTGTTTATAATCCTTATTATGTAAATTTTAAAAAGAGCATACATTTATATGCAGAGTTAGGTATTAAAATTTGTATGAAAAGATATACAAGAAACTAGAGATACTATGAACAAGAGTAGAGGAATACTTTTGCTTTTTTTTACCTTTCTATGCCTTTTGAATTTCAAATATTAGCAGTTAGTTTTATTTTTTAAATGTTAAGAGATGAACCAGGTGATAGCCATTTTGATTTCCTTCTATTTACTATTAGTAGTTTTTAAATGAAATAGCTGTAAAGACACTCAAAACATATCAAACAAGAATTAACTGGGCCAGTATGACTCATAGTATCATCATGATTGAACATGTAATTCCGCACTAACTCTGTGTAGAGGCGATGACTAAAGGCAGCCACAGGTTTAATACAGAGTGCTGTGGCTTTCAGAAGGCTGCTGCAATCTGAGGGTCACTAACGAATATACGCTCTACAGAAAGAATTCTAACAATCAGAGCTGTGTGACCAGAAATATCCTATCGATACAGTTAAATCTGTGTTGATGGATGTCTCCAGGTACGTCTGCTCCCTTTACCTAGAATACCGCCCTCTGCTTTTCTTCTAGGTAAGTCCAACTCACCCTTGAGGAGGCAGCTCGGGAATTACCTACGTTATGGAAGATATCCTGATCTCCTCTTCTTTCACCCTGTAGGACAGATCCTTGATATTCCGAATGTGGTCCTCAAACCAAAGCTTAGTAGAAATGCAGGATCTGAGATTCTATTCCTGAGGCCCACTGAGTCGACATTTCAACAAGATCACATGTGATTCACATGAAATGTTGGGAAACAGCAGGTAAAAGAAAACCCTAGGCGTGTACACAGTTCCTTGTGCATACCTATATCACAGCAATCATTCTACAGTATTTACTACTTTATTGGTCTAAACCCCACGTTAGACTGTAAGATTATTAAAGGCAGAATTTAAGACCTCTGTTGTTCTGTATCCATTGCACCTGGCACATAACAGATACTACATAAATGTTTGTTAGATAAATGAGTAAATGAACAGAAATGAATGAATGAAAAGTACCTAAAAATTTAGTCTATTACTCTTTTATAGCAATTCATCAGTTATATGACAGTATAAAAGTATTAATTACAAACAACAGAAAAAGTAATTTTTGAAAAAGTGATTTTGAAAAACTGCCATGTTTAAAAATATATATATCCTAGAAACACATTGCAAAATACTTTTGTCCTCACCAAATAGTACATACATGCAGGACTATACCTAAAACCTTTTATAATGTTTGCCCTTTCAAAAAGTCCCACACCCAAATTATCATGTAACACTGGTTTGGGCATAAGCCAACAGTTGAAAAGATAGAAAGAAATTACTTTAAGATTTGTATTGTTTTCCTGATGACACACAAGTTATGCTACTGTTTATCTTTAAAACTGCAGCTGTTGTGGCTCCGCATCACTGTTTACTATAATTATTGTCTTCAGATTTCATTCTGACCCACATCCCATTATAGGGTATGCACAGGCCAGATGAGCAATTTCAGAAATCAGCAGCACTCATGAATGTTTGCAGAATTGCATCATTAGATATCACTTTTTCTTTTTCTAATAGCATGAAAATTATATACTATAACTTTGTCCTTCAACAAAAATCCTCACCTGGCTGTTTCTCGCCACTCAGCATCCTCACCTTCACGCCAGCAAATCTCATCCAGTTCTGTGAAAAGGTCATGAGGAATATGTTCCTCATCATCATCCTCAGTTCCAAGAATAAACTGTACTCGCTGTGATGGGGTATCTATGGAAAATCAGACATGAACATGCATTACCATACTTTTAGCTTAAAATATCCTGGTTACCACCTTCAACACCACTCTAAACTCACACCCCCACCCCACCCTTACTGCAACACTCATTCGGAGTAGATTTGGGAAATTAAAACTAAATTTAGCATTACATTAAGTCTAGCATAATTTGGGAGTATAAATATGTAAAATGTAAATATGAAATATATATTATCAAAAATAAAATCAAATGTGATGATTATTATGGATGACTTACAACATTCCTCATGGAAACTATTTCTATATCTCTCTCACATACATACACACATTTTCTTTCATCATATATGCTACACTTGATAGTAATTTTCAAAAGAGTACACTAGGGTAAAATTCACTTATACTAAAACTACGCTGAATAGAATTCATCAAAGCTCTTGTGGTGCTTCTTTGTAGTCAAAACTTGCCGCTCCCCTAACACCTGGCAACCACTAATCTGGTCTCCACTGCTATAGATTTAACTATTCAGAATGCCATATATATGGAAACACATGGTATATAACCTTTTAGAGACTGTCATTCACTTAGCATAATGTCTTTGAGATTTTGAAATTAATCTGTGTCATTGACTGTATCAGTAGTAGTTCATTCTATTTATAACTTAGTAATATTCAATTATTACAATAGTCAAGAAGGAATGTACCACAGTTTACTTATCCATTCACCTATTGAAGGATATTGAGTTTGTTTTTAGTTTTTGGCATTGCTGTGTAGAACAACTGTAAGTATTCTTGTACAGGTTTTTGTGCTAACACAAGTTTTTATTTCTCCAAGGTACACACCTAGAAGTAGGATTGCTAGGTTTTATGGTAAGTGTGTATTGAACTTTATAAGCCACTGCCAAAGTGCTTTCTAGAGTGCCTGTGTTCTTTTGAATTCTTGCAATATATGAGAGTTCTAGGTGCTCCACATATTCATCAGCATTCGGTATTACCAATTGTTTTTTAGCCATTCTAGGTAGTGCTATCTCATTGCAGTGTTAACTTGCATTTCCCTGATGGCTATTATTGACAATTTTTCATGTGTTTATTTGCCATCCATATGTCTTTTTTGGTGAAGTGTTTGTTGAAATATTTTGCCTATTCTTAATTGGGTTGTTTATTTCTTACTATCGAACTTTGAGTGTTCTTATATATTTAGGATATAAGTCTTTGTTGAACATGTGACTTGCACATTTTCTTTTCTCCCTTTTTAGCTTGTATTCACATTCTTTTAACAGTGCCTTTCACTGAGCAGTATTTTTAAATTGACAAATTCCATTTCATCATTTTTTTCTGTTATGAATTATGCTTTTGATGTCAAATTTAAGAACTATTTCCCTAAAAGTCAAAGGATTTTTCTCTTATGCTTTCTTCTAAAATTTTATAGCATATTTTATATTAACAGTGTCCATTTAGTTCAAGGGCTCTTTATTTTGGTATATGGATGTCCAGGTGATCCAATACCATTTGCTGAAAAGACACGGGTAACATATATTCTCTATTAAATTGCCTTTGCAACTTTTCCAAAAAATCAACTAGCCATATTTGAACTATTTTTTTCTGGCCTTTCTAGTCGGTTCCATTCATCTCTGTGTCTATACCTTTGTCAATATCAGACCCTCTTGTGGACTCTACCTTTATAGTAATTCTTAAAATCAGGAGGTGGGTCTAACTTTGTTCTTTATTTTCAAAACTGGCTATTCTATTTTTTTTTTTGCTTTTCCATATGCATTTTAGAATCACTGTGTTTCTATCTACAGAATTCCTGCTGGAAGTCTGATTGGAATTGCACTTAACCAATAGATCATTTTGAGGAGAATGACATCTTAATTATTATGATTTTCCAATCCATGAAAACTATATATATCTTTATTTATTTCGGTTTTCATTGATTTCAAACCTATTTTATTAGGTTTTACAGTTTTCAGAAAAAGATCTTCTACATGTTTTGTTAGAATTATACCTAGATATTTAATTTTTTAGAACTATTGCAAGTTGTACTTTTAAAATTTTGTTTTCCAGTTTTTCAAAGTTAATTAATAAAAATGTGATTGATTTTTCTGTGACCTTGTATCCTACAACCTTGCTAGACTTATTAGTCCTAAGAGCTTTTTTATAGATTCCAAGTGATTTTCTATACAAATTGTCATGTCATCTGTGGATAGGGGTTGTTTTATTTGCAAAAATAAACCAATCAATTATTGAACAAATTAGGTTATAACTAAGTCACAATTGAGAGGATTTCAGGAGTCAAAAGTAAAAAATACAAAATACAGTGTCATACTTTCTGTATAAAGAAGTGTTTGTGTGGGGCCCTAGCTCCTGCCAGTCATTAGCCTTATCTTGTAACTCCTTCCATTCCAGGTACATTAGCCTTCTTTCAGATTCTTAAAAACAGCATACTCTCTTCCACTTCAGGGTCATTACATAAATGGTTTCTTCTAGATCAATTGCATATCTTTCAGCATCTGCCTCAATGTAATATACTTTGTACTTGGGTAAGCCTACCTAATCAGCCTTTCAGAGCATACACAAACACATACATAAATACATTCATATGAAAAATATTAAGTCATGTACCTGTTCTCCTATTTCACAGCACTCTATACTTCTCCTTGTTACACTTATGTCAATTATAATTTTAATTTATTATGGACCAAATCCCAGAGAGGAAATTATGCATCCAAAAATACATTTCAAATTATAATGCATTATATAAATATTATTGATGAGGATGGATGCTGATACTAGTGGTAGGTGATGGTTATATTGATAGTAAAGGCCTGTCAAAATGCAGAGATTAGAATTTGAAGAAAGGAAAATAAGAAAAATAGTACTTCTATTAATTAAAAGAATGTCCTCGCATGGATAGGCCTTGAAGGTATTACACTAAGTCAGACAAAAAGACAAATAGGTATAATCTCACTTATATGTGGTATCTAAAAAACAACACAAAAATCCCTACCAAACTCATAGAAAAAGATATCATATTTGTAGTCACTAGAGGCAGGGAGTGGGATTGAGGGGGAATGAGAGAAGGGTGGTCAAAAGGTACAAACTTCCAGTTACAAGGAAAATAAGTACTAGGATGCAACGAACACCATTACGACTATGGTTAGCACTGCTGTATGAAATAGAGGAAAGTAGTTAAGAGTGGCGATTCCAAGAGTTTTCATCACAAGGAGAATTTTTTTTCTCTGTTTATTGTGTCTGTATGAGATGGATGTTAACTAAACCTATTACAGTAATCATTTCACAATATATGGATATCAAATCATCATGCTGTACTCCTTAAACTTATACAGTGATATGTATCAATCATTTCTCAATAAAACTGGAAACAAAAAGAGTATTGCCAGAATGAGGAGCCAGTGCTGCAGGCTGAGAGGTCATAAAACAACTTTTAAATATGCTGAGTTTTAGGTGAATATAGGACAAACACATGCAGATAGTCATACGGTACCTGGAGAAGTGTTTCTGGAAAAGAGGACAGGTTCAGAGACAGACATGGGTGGTGTTTAACTGGAGAAGTCACATGAGAACTGTGTATGAGGACTCAAAAATGAATGAACCAAGAGAGAAGACTTAATATCCAAGGAATAATAAGGTTTAAGACAGAAGGAAGAACAGCTGATAACAAAAGAATCAGAAGAGAAATAGATGGATATATAAAAGAACTGGTACATTAAACAAATATTTAATGAGCACCTTCCATTGGTCAGACACTATTCTAAGCAGTGAATTACACAGATATAAAAAAAAACAGACAAAAAATCTCTACCTTCATAGAGTTTACATCTGATGGAGAGAACAGCATACCAGCGAACAAGATAGAAAAAGATTCAGGAAGTACTAAAGTCAATAACATCAGATGCTGTAGAATCAATGATGAGAACAAATAATACAACAGGGTTTTCTAGCCTTATGTTCAATAGCACTGGAATTCCAACGACCGTATATTACTTGTATAATCAGAAATAAACAAATTGGCTATTTCCATTTGGAATGTAGACCATTTTTTTCAATAAATGGTTAAAAGAGAAAATCAAATTTACATAGTTAAACTACTTGAGAAAAGCCACTAAGAGAATAATTGGAATTAAGTTCCTTATCAAACTTTCATCTTTCATTATTAGTTTTGTTTCTCATATTGCTTTAATTACTCACATAATAATTAACCAGGGTCCAATAATATACTTTTCCTAATAATCAGTGAAAATATTCTCCTTTGAGTAGGCCCTGTCCAAAAGTTCTTTATTTTTCAAGCCCTTTCTGAAAACTAGTCAACAAATATGTCAAGAAATACATTTCTTACAACAAAACAAGGACAATGACAGGAGTGAACTGGGAAATTTCCATTTCACCTATGTGATCTTATTGTAATTAAAACCACAAGCCTCATGCATTATAACATTTAGCTCAAGGGAGCAAATTCACAAAATATTTAATGCAATGGTAATTTCTGAATTACAGACACTTTTTTTTTTCTCTTTATCCTTGTTATACTTCAGATAAATCAATATTCAGATACTCTCTCTTATAAAATCATGAAATAACTAATTTAATGAATCTGTTTCAAATTCATGTATCTAGTCTCTTTGTAGCTCAATAATATTTTTCATCTCCATTTGAACTTTAAAATTTTGTTCATATTATTTGAATGTCATATACAATCTGTTCATTTGGAATCCTATATTTTAATTCATTTATATAATTGAAATAATACATTTATTATTATTAATGCTAATTAGTTAATTTCATTATAGGTCAACAGATTGATAAAATGAATGTTGCAGCTGAAGCACCAGGAACCAATAGCTATTTCTCTCCAAAGAGGATGTAAGACTATATGTAGAATTTATAAATCATGTTCCTGAAAACCTAGCTATCTAAATCTTAGCTCCTTACCCACACTATTGCTATGAAAGTCATGAGCAGGAAACAGTAGACACATTCTGGAGAGAATTCCTTCAGAG